TGCTTTTAACCCTTTCAGGGTCCGTCCCGTAGATCTACGGCTTTACGTTCAGGGTCCAAACCGTAGATCTACGCCATGAGCTCAGCTCACTCTGATAAACTGTGAGTGGTACATTTGGGCCTAGATATGAGAGAATACATCTATGTGGTATGTGTGCACCACATAAAACAGATCCTGCAGCACATTGTGTATAATGAGAGAAAAAAAATGAAATCATGATTTTTCGATTAAAACAGCAACTTTGCAGTGTTTTTTCGTATGTTTTTTATGGTTGTATTTGCGATTTCTTGGTCTCATTTGATAGAATGGAAGACATATTACAGAAATAGAGATGATTTTGATTGGTTTTAGCATTATAAATGGCTTGAAACTGAGCTCAAAGTAGCGGAAATGTTAAATTTTTGCCGATATTCAAGAGTAAACAAACGACCTCACACGTCTAATACACGTCAGCTGGTGGGTCTAATATACATTCACAAATATGGTGATGATATTTATACAATTATTACAGTATTGCATAACAGTAAATCTTCTATTTTTTGGTGTGAATAAGAATTCATTATGTGAATAAAAAATCAAAATGGAATTTATTTGTAAAGCCTCAAAACATAACTAATGAACAGACGAAATGTTAGTTTAGTGCCAGGAATGCCTACATTGTTCATTCTGGACCCTATTTTGAAATTGGAATATTTTGAACTTTGTGTTAAATTGGCCAAATTAACAATTTCTGATCACTTTATTTTGTAGTTGAAACAGTTGACTTGGCGATTTCTTGTGCTCAATCGATAGAATAGAAGTAATACTAGTGAAATAGCTAAGAATTTGGTTGATTGGAATAATGTAATTGGCCTAAAATGGGAGTCGAAGTCGGCAAAATCGCCGATTCGTAAATATCGCTGACACATCAAAATTCGCGAGAGCATAATTTCGTCAATTTTCCACCAAATTTCGTACTTTTTGTTTTATTACCTTCACAAAAAGATTCTCTACGATTTCATAAGAAAAAATAACAAATTTTTTTTTTTTAAATTCTTGGACACTGGTGCGTGACTCCAGATTTGGGCTTTGGACCCTGAAAGGGTTAACATTTCTGTCATGATCCCATCAGTTCCAGCTGCTTTACCTCCTTTCATTCTACGTAATGCCTCGCGTACCTCCCCCACACTTACGTTCTGCTCTTCTTCACTCCTAAAAGATGTTATACCTCCCTGTCCAGTGCATGAAATTACCGCCTCCCTTTCTTCCTCAACACTTAAAAGTTCCTCAAAATATTCTCGCCATCTACCTAATACCTCCCTCTCCCTATCTACTAACTCCCCTACTCTGTTTTTGACTGATAAATCCATACGTTCCCTAGGCTTTCTTAACTTAACTCACTCCAAAATTTTTTCTTATTTTCATTAAAATTTCTTGACAGTGCCTATCCCATTCTATCATCTGCTCTCCTTTTGCACTCTCTCACCACTCTCTTCACCTTTCTTTTACTCTCCATATACTCTGCTCTTCTTATAACACTTCTGCTTTGTAAAAACCTCTCATAAGCTAACTTTTTCTCTTTTATCACAACCTTTACTTCATCATTCCACCAATCGCTCCTCTTTCCTCCGGCCCCCACCCTCCTATAACCACAAACTTCTGCCCCAGATTCTAATACTGCATTTTTAAAACTCATCCAACCCTCTTCAACCCCCCCACTACTCATCTTTGCACTAGCCCACCTTTCTGCCAATAGTCGCTTATATCTCACCCGAACTTCCTCCTCCCTTAGTTTATACACTTTCACTTCCCTCCTACTTGTTGTTGCCACCTTCCTCTTTTCCCATCTACCACTTACTCTAACTGTAGCTACAACTAAATAATGATCCGCTATATCAGTTGCCCCTCTATAAACATGTACATCCTGGAGCCTACTCATCAACCTTTTATCCACCAATACATAATCTAACAAACTACTTTCATTACATGCTACATCATACCTTGTATATTTATTTATCCTCTTTTTCATAAAATATGTATTACTTATTACCAAGTCTCTTTCTACACATAGCTCAAATAAAGGCTCCCTATTTACATTTACCCCAGGCACCCCAAATTTACCTACTACTCCCTCCACAACATTTTTACCCACTTTAGCATTGAAATCCCCAACCACAAGTACTCTCACACTTGGTTCAGAACTCCCCATGCATTCACTCAACATTTCCCAAAATCTCTCTCTCTCCTCTACACTTCTCTCTTCTCCAGGTGCATATACACTTACTATAACCCACTTTTCACATCCAACCTTTATTTTACTCCACATAATCCTTGAATTAATACATTTATAGTCCCTCTTTTCCTGCCATATCTTATCCTTCAACATTATTGCTACTCCTTCTTTAGCTCTAACTCTATTTGAAACCCCTGATCTAATCCCATTTATTCCTCTCCACTGAAACTCTTCCACCCCCTTCAGCTTTGTTTCACTTAAAACCAGGACATCCAGCTTCTTCTCATTCATAACATCCACAATCATCTCTTATCATTTGCACATCATCCACGCACATTCAGACTTCCCACTTTGACAATTTTCTTGTTATTCTTTTTAGTAATCTTTACAGGAATAGGGGTTACTATCCCATTGTTCCCGGCATTTTAGTTGACTTTTACAACACGCATGGCTTACGGAGGAAAGATTCTTATTCCACTTCCCCATGGATATAAAAGGAAAAGTAATAAGACCAAGAACTATTAAAATAAAATCAAAGAAACTCAGATGAGTGTGTATAAATAAACATGTACATGTATGTGTAGTGTGACCTAAGTGTAAGTAGAAGTAGCAAGACATATCTGTTATCTTGCATATTTATGAGACAGACAAAAGACACCAGCAACCCTACCATCGTGTAAAACAATTACAGGCTTTCGTTTTACACTCACTTGACAGGACGGTAGTACCTCCCTGGGTGGTTGCTGTCTACCAACCTACTATACAAATGGTTAAAGTGTTGAATGATAATGAAAGCTTTTTCTTTCTTTCTGGGTTTTTCTTTCTTTTGGGTCACCCTTCCTTGGTGGGAAACGGCCAATGTGTTAAAAAAAAAATAATAATAATAATAATAATGCCATTTGGGGGTCCTCTCACTTCCTACACAACTGTCCACTTGATTGTTAATGTTACTGATAACCATTATATTTATACAAACCATAGCATTCATTTCATTCCTCCACTATTTAATCAAAGCTTTTTTTAACTAAAATACAAAAATGATTTGACTGAGATAAAAGCAATAATCCTAGGTAGTAGGTTGGTAGACAGCAACTTCCCAGGGAGGTGCTACCGTCCTACCACGTGAGTGTAAAACTGAAGCCTGTAATTGTTTTACATGATGGTAGGATTGCTGGTGTCTTTTTTTTTCTGTTTCATACACATGCAAGATTTCAGGTACGTCTTGCTACTTCTACTAACCTTTAGGTCACACTACTCATACATGTACAAGCATATATATACACACCCCTTTGGATTTTCTTCTATTTTCTTTCTAGTTCTTGTTCTTGTTTATTTCCTCTTACCTCCATGGGGAAGTGGAACAGAATTCTTCCTCCGTAAGCCATGCGTGTTGTAAGAGGCGACTAAAATGCCGGAAGCAAGGGGCTAGTAACCCCTTCTCCTGTATATATTACTAAATGTAAAAGGAGAAACTTTCGTTTTTCCTTTTGGGCCACCCCACCTCGGTGGGATACAACCAGTGTGTTGAAAGAAGAAGAAAACATGCAAGATTTCAGGTAGGTCTTCCTACTTCCACTTACATTTTAAGGTCAAACTACACATGCATGTACAGGCATATATATACAGACACTTCTGGGTTTTCTTCTATTTTTCTTACTAGTTCTTGTTCTTGTTTATTTCCACTTATCTCCATGGGGAAGTGAAACAGAATTCTTCCTCTCTAAGACATGTGTGTCACAAGAGTTGACTAAAATGCTGGGAGCAAGGGGTTAGTAACCCCTTCTCCTGTATATACATATTACTAAATATAAAAGGAGAAACTTTCGTTTTTCTTTTTGGGCCACTCCACCTCGGTGGGATATGGCTGGTGCGTTGAAAGAAAGAAAGAAAAAAGCAATAATGAGTAGCATATTTATGAATATTCGTAATGTAGTTGAGAGGTTCAGTGTGATACTTAAACTGAGCAACATTTATATTTTAAGAAGGCTGGAGGCAGTGGAGATGTCATGTCTAAGGGTAGTGTGTGGTGTAAATATTATGCAGCAAATTCATGGTGTGGAAATTAGAAATGTGTGGAGTTACAAAAAGTATATTCAGAGGGCTGAGGAGGGGTTATTTGAAGTGGTCTGGTCATTTAGAGAGGATGGAGCAAAATAGGATGACTTGGAGGGTGTATAAATCTGTAGTGGAGGGAAGGAGAGGTAGGGATCATCCTAGGAAAGGATGGAGAGGGGGTAAAATTGGTTTTGTGTGAAAGGGGCTTGGACATACAGCAGGCATGTGCAAGCATGTTAGATAGGCGTGAGTGGAGATGAATGGTTTTTGGAACTTAACGAGCTGTTGGAGTGAAAGTAAGGGTAATATTTTGTGAAGGGATTCAGGGAAACCGGTTAGCCGGACTCGAGTCCTGGAGGTGGGAAGTATAATGCCTGCACTTTAAAGGAGGGGTTTGGGATATTGGCTGTTTGGAGTGACATCTAAACTTTCATATCTGCATGCCTTTGCAAAGACAGTGGTTGTGTGTGAATGACGGTGAAACTGTTGAATGATGGTGAAAATGTTTCTTTTTTTGGTCACCCCGCCTTGGTGGGAGACGTGTTAAAAAAAGAGTATATCATGTAGATCTACAACCAAGTAAGAAACTGTTTTCCATGTTCACCTATACAAGATATTGCATAGAAATATACAAAATTAATTAAAAAAAAAAAAAACAGTCCATAGAAGGGGGGTGGCAATGTAACTAAAAGCAGCAGTTAAAAGGTAAAACATTAACAAATGACTTTCTTACCTAAATTTGGTTTATACAGCGAGTTTGAAGAATTGAAACTAGGGAAGATATGTGGCATGTACCACATTCGAAACATGGTAAACAGGTACGAAAATGACTTGCTATGCTGTGTACGGTCTTGCCACTCAACTCTTCGTACCTGAACAACAAATTGTGAAAAATAATTAGCCTAGGTTGAAATGATCGCTTTTCCAAACAAACTGATCATTTATCATTTTTGTCTAACTTTGCAAAAATCTGTCTGCACATTAAAAAATTAGTAAACATTGCCAATGATGATAAATAACACTTGCTAATGGTAGAATAACTTTATACACAAATAGTACTGTTAGTTACAGTGTACTTAAAACTTTTGTCAGTCAGGTTAATTCACATGAATACTGTTCAAGCCAATATCAAACCTACCAATACAGTACTGTTAATAATCTATTTCAGGCTCCCTCCAAAAAAACAAAACAAAAGATGACATAATTAAAAGGGCTTGGCAATATCTACAAATCACACGAAAATAAATATGCATTTCGTTTATCAATCTGCAGAAAGAATTTGATGCTGTTAGTCACAACATTCTTCCAAAATTTGATAACTAAGACGAATTAGACACGTTCAACATCTGAGTATCTTGTAGACATTTCACCTGCCAGTGGTTTTATCAGTACAATACATGGACATAATGTGAATGCTGTAGAAAGTTAAAGATGAGGTAATCAGTCCATCTGCCTAGGAGCAGGCGATGAGCACCTTTGTCTTGAAGAATCTGAAGCACAGGCAGGAAGATTGGCACTTATGTACTGCAGTCAGATGAAATGCAGCAGACGAAGGCACTGTCACTGGTAGGAGGGATTTCCCAGTGGTAGCAGGTCATGCCCAAGAGTTGGGACAGTGACAATGCCTATATCTGCTGCACCTCATCTGACTCCAGAACGTAAGCAGTAATCATCCTACCCATGCCTCAGATTCTTCAAGGCAATAGAGTTCATAACCTGCTCCTAGACTGAGAGACTGATTGCTCTGTCTTCCACTGTCTTCTGTATGTATGTATTTCTACAGTCTTCAGATTATGTCCATGTACTGTATTTTATTGATAGACCCATTGGATGGCGTTATGTCTACAAGATACCTAGACGTTGCACATGTAATTCTTCATCATCTTACAGGTCATTTATACCACTGATATGCAGACTGATGACTATAGCATCAGACTGAGTCAATAAAACATATCATATAGTTCCCAGTAACTTTCAAATTCATAAAAACTCTTAAAGCACCTCTGATTCACATTCCAGGCAATATAATTTTATTTGCTGTTTTTCCACTCCAGATAATACTGAATATTTATGTAGAGTATATGCCACAAATTATTCTCAGCATATGGAGACATAGCACACAAAGAAAATTTTGTCTTGAACCCCTTGACTGTCGCAACCCCAAATCCTGAGGTGTCTCCTGGTGTCGCAAAATCCCCCCCCCCCCCCAAAAAAAAAAAAAAATTATGAAATCAGAGAATCTTTTTCCGGGTGTAATGACACCAAAAGAACAAAATTTGATGGAAAACTGACGGAATTACGCTCTCGTGAAGTTAGCGATCTCAGCGATATTTATGAATCGGCGATTTCGCCCACTTTGAGCACTATTTTCGGCTAATTCCATTGTTCCAGTCGACCAAACTCATAGCTATTTCATTAGAACTCCATTTTTTCTATCAATTGAGTACAAGAAACTGCCCATTTACCGATTTCAACTACCCAATAACGTGGTCAGAAATTTGCAATTTGGCCAATTTCACGAAAATTAAAAAATGACAATTTCAAAATAGGGTCCAGAATGAACAATGCAGACATTCCTGGCTCTAAAATAACATTTTCTATGTTCATCAGTCACGTCTCCAGGCCCCTCTGATATTACAGTGGAACCTCAAAAATCAAACTTAATCCGTTCCAGGAGCTAGTTCTAAATTCGAAAAGTCTGAAATTCGAAGCAATATTTCCCATAAGAAATAATGGAAATACAATTAATCCGTTCCAAAAACCCAAAAATATTCACACAAAAAATACATTTTATAGAGATTAATTAAAGTTTTACATACAACAAATACTATAGTTTTTAATTATGTATAGTAATACATATAAAATAACATTTTTACTTACCTTTATTGAAGATTGGTGATGGCATCCGGAAGATAGGGAGGAGGAGAGAGGGAGCTGGGGTTAGTGTTTGGAAGGAGAATCCCACTCCATGAGGACTTCAGGTAAAGCCCTCTCTGGGGTTACTTCCCTTCTCTGTCTTTTAACCCTTTGAGGGTTTTCGTCGTACTAGTACGTTTTACGCGTAGGGGTTTTTGACGTACTAGTACTCATAAATTCTAGCGGCCTCAAATCTAGTGGGAGAAAGCTGGTAGGCCTTCATATGAAAGAATGGGTCTATGTGGTCAGTGTGCACAGTCTAAAAAAAATCCTGCAGCACATAGTGCATAATGAGAAAAAAAAAACTTTGACCATTTTTTTTTAATAAATCAGCGAATTTGCAGTGTATTTTCGTATGGTATTTATTGTTGTATTCTAGTTTTCTTGGTCTCATTTTATAGAATGGAAGACATATTACAGAAATTGAGATGATTTTGACTGGTTTTGCAAAGAAAGGTGCCTTGAAATTGAGCTCAAAGTAGCAGAAATGTTCGATTTTTATCAAACTTCAAAAGTAATCAAATCGTGCCAAGCGTGCAATACATGTCAACTGGTGAGTCTAATATTCTTTCACAAGTGCACCAATAATATTTATACCATTTTTTACACTAATGCAGTAGTCTGCATAACAGTAAATCTTATATTTTTTGTGAAAATAAAAATTCAAAGTGGAAAGCAAAAGAATATAAGAGGGGACTTGAGACATGACTAATGACTAGAGGAAATGTCATTTTAGTGCCAGGAATGTCTTTCTTGTTTATTCTGGACCCTATTCCGAAATTGGCATCTTTTGAAATTTGTGTGAAATTGGCAAAATTGCTAAATTCTGACCACTGTACTGGATAGTTGAATTTCATAAATGAGTGGTTTCTTGCATCCATTCGATAGAAAAAATGGAGTTCTAGCGAAATATTCATGTTTTTTGTCGACTAGTACAGTGAAATTGGCCGAAAATGGGGCTCAAAGTGGGCAAAATCGCTGATGCGTAAACATCGCCGAGACCGCAAACTTTGCGAGAGCATAATTCCGTAAGTTTTCTATCAAATTTCAAACTTTTGGTGTCTTTATGATCGGGAAAAGATTCTCTATCTTTTCATAAGAGAAAATAATTTTTTTTTTTTTTAAATTTGGCCGACCCTGAGAACGAGTTTCGGAGAGGGCCTGTCGACCCTCAAAGGGTTAATGCCACTAGGACCAGCTTGAGAGTCACTGGACCCCTGTCTCACAAAATAACTGTCCACAGTCCTCTGTTTCTGGCGCCTCTTTAACATTTCCCTAAAATGGGACATGGTTCTGTCACTGATCTTGTTGCAAAGATGGCCTGTTTCAGCTTGCTCAGAGTGGTACTTCTACACAAACATTTGGACATCATTCCACTTGGCACAAATCTCCTTTATCTTTGAAGAAGGCACCTCATCCACTCCCTATATTAACACCTTTCGCAACATCAGCTTCCTTGATTTGTTCATTCTTTGACAGGATAGAACCGATGGTCGACTTGTTTTTCCCATACATCATGGCAAGCTCAACAAGTCTCACACCACTCTCATACTTCTGTATTATTTCCTTCTTCACATCTATGGTGTTTCTCACTTTCTTTACCACAGGTGTACCACTAGCAAGTTTCTTTGAACCCATGGCAGCTTATTTCACAGTCCCACAAGCACTAAACACAATGATATAATCGAAAAATGCGTGAATGAGAGCGCAGGTTAGTGTTCACTCAAGCATAAACAAAGCTAGACTGCTCACGGCGCCTGCGCGGGGACGCGGACAGAGCGGGCGGCAGACAGGTCCCGTACCCAGTGGTCCGAAAATGGGGGCGCGTTCGATAATAGGGACACAGTTTGTCCGAAAAATGGTCCTATTTTTGAAACGTTCGATATGTGATACGTTCGATTTTTGAGGTTCCACTGTACTCTTGCTTTCTATTCTGAATTTTTATTCAAACAAAAAATAAAAGATTTACTGTTATGCAGACTACTGCAATATTGTAAAAATTGTATAAATAATGTAAACCCATTCATGATTGCATATTAGAATATCTACTTGGACATTTATTGGAAAATGACATCATTTGTTTACTTTTGAATATCAGCAAAAATCAAACATTTCCCCTATTTTGAGCTCCATTTCAAGGTTCTTTTCATAGTAACACCAATCAAGATCACCTCTATTTCTATAATATGTTTTCCATTCTATCAAATGAGACCAAGAAAATGAGAATACAACCATAAATACTATACGAAAATAGACTACAAAGTCGGCATTTTAATTAAAAAAAAAAGTCGGAGATTTTTTTTTTCCTCATTATGCACTGCGTGCTGCAGGATTTTTTTATATGGTGCACACTGACCACACAGACCCATTCTCTCACATGTGGGCCTACCAGCTTTCTCCTGCTTGATTTGAAGCCGCTAGAATTTATGAGTGTATATACGTCAAAAACAGTGGCTCGTAAGACGTATATATACAACCGAAACAGTCAAAGGGTTAATGGTAGTTTCACAAAATGTGCATATGATTAAAAGGTTACATAAATCTCAAAACAGCCATTACAGAATTTTTCCTACAGGAAGTTGCATCACCTTTCATGCAAATCTAAATTCATTAGACTTGTAATTAATGTTCCTATACACATGTGAGGCACTAAGCAGAAGAAAAGAATAAGTGTCAAATTCAAACAATGGAGAAAAACAGAGGTTTGGGGGAGATCAGAGCTATGAAGCTCAAGTTATTATACTTTATTATGGGGTTCTGAAATTAACTTACAAATGAAGAAGACAATGCCTACACATTTCCACAAACAGATGGAACATTAAAGAATTGATTCACTCAATATCCCAGATTTTGGCTGTGGTGGTCCTTATTCTTTTTTTCCGCACAATGTCTCATACACCATATTTTACAGTGTCGAAGACTCTATTTTTTTCCCAAAATAAATCTCGAAAATTTA